AAGTAATTTCAATATATGCAACTTCTATAGATTTCTTATCTCGATAAATTAATCATTTTGTTATTATTCTTAACAAAATAAAAATTTTTATTAAAAAATTATATAAAATATTTCTTTTTTAATTTAATTAATATTTATTTTGATAAAAAAATTATTTATAATACTATTTAATATTCTATCGTATAAAAACTATAAAATAATCGTACATTTTTTTGAACAAAACTAAAATAAAAATATTGCTGAAAAATATTCAGATGAAATGAAATGTTTAATACACAACGTTCTACTTTAAGCATCGACCGTTCTTATGTTCTACTAACTCTGCATTGATGAAAATATCTATATGATATACGTACGGTACTTTGAAACCATGAAATTTTAATGTGTCACTTGAAAAAATATTAATTTATAAATATTAATCTGAAGAGATTTATTCGCATGTTTAATTTAAACTTAATATAATGGCAAAAATATTATAAATATACTTCATAATAAATAAGATAATAAAATAATGTATTTAAAATATTTTAAAATATTTAATTAATATTTCAAAAATTAACAAGATAATAAATGAATTATAAAAAACATGTAATCAGTTATTTTTCTAATTTTGTTAACAAATAATTTCTATATCATTCTAATTAAAAATATTATTTCTATTTATTAAATATTATTTATTAAATATTATTGACATTTGTATTTTTTTCGATAAAAATGTATTTTTATATAAATTTCACGTAAATGAAAATATAACGTAATACTGTTCAAAATATCACAAAGAAAACATTAGAAAAGACGCTTACATATGATTATTTTATTAATGATTAATAAAAATAAATAATTAAATTTACAAATCAAAGTCTACAAGACACTTATTAGACACAAATATCATGATTACAAACATAGGATTTTAAATAGGATTCTTTGATAATAGAATATCAAAAAGGATTGATAATGAATGTAGTAGTTATCAAAATTTACAGAACTTGTTTCAAACATTTGATTTAGATACAATTTTGATTTAAATACAATTTAAATATACCGTGTCATATAAAATTAATTCAAAACAATATAGAAAATAATTTGATAATATTGAATGATTAACTATTATCTATTGCATTTAATTTAAAATTGCACAATATCAAAATAATTTGATTTATTATTATTATTAATCAAAAATTAATATTAAAAAATTTAAATATGTAAAGATTTAATAATAGGATAATGGAAGGATTAATAATGTGATAATGGAAAAGAATTTATAAAAAATTATATTGCTTCTTGAAATAATTTAATTTTAATTTAAATTTAAATTTAAATTTAAATTTAAATTTTATTTGCAATCAAAAAGTAGAATACATATTAATAAAAATGAAAGTCACACAAGTTATTAAAGGAAGTTGACTCATTGAAAAAGAAAAAGATTACAATGGGAAAAATGAAATCAGACTCGAAGTATTTTTTTTTTAAATCTTACAAAGATAATTTTTGTTTTGACAGATATCGTCTAAATCTTGTTGAACGGAGAATATAATTTTTTACAATATAATACTTAAAAAAATATCATATCAGAGAAAGTTATTTTTATTTAATATAAGAAAATTCATTAAATTAAATTTATTTTCTTTTAAAATAATATAGGATAATAATTTATAGCAATGTATTTCATAAATTTATTTTTCTAATTATAAACATTAATATTTATGTATAATACGTATAATACGTTATCTCTGATATTTAATTTAAATTCTGTGTGAAGAATATTTAATCTTTGCAGATGTTATCATGATACATTTATGATACCTATATTTCGTCGTAGATATAAAATAAGAAACACAAAGAAATTCTTACTTTTAAAATTCTTGAATTTTAATGTTTAATAAAATTAATTAAAATAAAATTTAATAAAAACAAACATATTTATATAAATTATTAAGTTACTAATTCACGATATTTAAAATATTTAAATTATAATTCTAATTATTATTCATATAATTATGTATTGTAATATAAAATTATTTCATTATTTAAAAATTATGAAAAAATTATAGAAATTATTATGTTAAAAGATATTATGTTAAAAAGATAAATTTATCTAAATTAATATATGTTATAATTTATATTTAAATATATAACTATATTCATTGCACACGAAAGATTTACTTCTAAAATTTCGCGCTTGACGCCAAAGTTTCGAGAGATCGAACTCGAACTTTCAATAATTCGAGCCCTTGCAGTGCGAGCAGTCGTAAGTTGTCTGTCCTCAGTGAAGGAATATCAAGACATTTGTTTTTATACCAGTTAACTCATATGCGTTTTTCTTATTAATTTGTGTTATTAAAGTATTGAAATTCTTGGAATACGGATTTAATAATATCTCGACGAACTCTCGCGGGTGCTAAAGAGAATAAAGACCGTATACGAAGATGTGCGGTGGTTTTACGTGTTCTAAAAACGCATTGACGGCATTAAATATTCTTTATATCGTAAGCAAAAATAAGACTATAAAATTTGAACAAATACATTATTTTAATCGTATTTTATTTTCAATTTCGTATATTTATAAAATCTAATAATTTATTTATCGATATTTAAGAAGTTATATTTTCATAATTAAAAAAAAATATAGAAATATTTTAGAAAGAACTTTTTTATGGAAAAATAAATACTTTAATATTATTATTTATATATATTAGTACTTATAGAATTTAATTTAATTCATGTAATTCATGTATAAAGTGAATCATAAAAATAAATGCATTTATTATTAATATAATATGAATTTATAAATAATATTTTAATTGTTTCAAATACATTTTTAAATTTAAAAATTATTTTAATATTAATATTTTAGGTTGTTGCATTTATTTTAATTGGTGTGGCTGTTTATGGAAGAGCTTCAGCATTAGTTACAAATCTTCCTATTATTGGAGGTATTTTAGCATGTGGTGTTATTTTGATTCTAATTTCTATAATTGGCCTGATTGGTGCTGTTAAACATCATCAAGTTCTATTATTCTTTGTATCCTTTTACAAATATTAAATATAATTATATTTAATCAGATATTTTAATTTCTTTTTATATCATTATTAAGACATAAAATCAATAAGAAAATTTTGGAAATCAGAAATATTATCAAAAATTAAAAACAATAATCTATTTATTATATATAAGAGATATATGAATCTTTGTTCATTAATATATATATAATTTAGTATATATAAGAAGAAAGAAAATAATAAAAAAATAATAAGAATAAAGAAAATAAGTTACTCTAACAAATATATGAAGTAGTTTGTATTGTTAGTTATGTAAATAAAGACATATAATTTATTTAAAAAAAGATTACATAATTAACATTTTATATTATATATTTTGAATATAATCCTTAATAATGTTTATACAGTATATGTTGATTTTATTTCTGTTATTCTTGATTCAATTCAGTATTGCTTGTGCTTGTCTTGCTGTCAATGCCAAACAACAAGAACAATTAGCAGAACAGGTAATATATATATTTTATTATATTATTATCATTAATAATTGAAAATATATTATATAATTAATTATTTTATTATTTTTAGGGTTGGAAACATGCACCAGAATTAAGAACAAAAGTCGAGGAAACTTTTAATTGTTGTGGATTCAATGGTACTGATAGCACATTTATAATGAATAATTCAGATTCATTATCATGTAAAAATGTAAATATAATTTAAGTAAAGTTAATTATATTAATCATATATAACTTATATTTAATATGAAATTCTGTTTTAATTTCAGAAACTCTGTTCTTGTCAATATCCTACAGATATTGATTGTGAATGTCCATCTTGTATGCAAAAATTACAATCCACAATTGATTATGCTTTTAAGCTATGTGGCAGCATAGGATTATTTTTCAGTTTTACTGAAGTAAGTATTTATAATTATTGTATTGTATTTATGTGTTTAATATATGTTCTTGTATAAAGTGCAATGTGAAAATTTACATAATGCTTAAAAGCATTACCATTTGTGAATAATTTCACTTTATTAAAATAAGTAGTAATTTATTTAGTAAATGTTAACCTCTGTACCCGTTACAGTTTGTTGGTGTTTGGTTGACCGTGCGATACAGGAATCAGAAAGATCCACGAGCTAATCCTAGTGCTTTCCTCTAGTCTAATATCATCGCTATGTCCTCTGTCACCTCATATGATCCTCCTAATAAATGGTGGGTCTCATTTTGCGATTTTTTTATTTTACATATTGATTTTTAAAATAATTTATATTAATCACATTTTATATATAACAGACATCATATCATATTTATGTAATTCAATATATATACCAGTTAAATTTAAGAATTAATATGGAGTATTTCAAATTATTTTTTCTTTTTCAGGTGATTGCAGCTTTCTTGGCAAAACATTATAGAAATCAACTAAATCCATGTTCAAAAACTATATTTCCTTAGTATAATTTTATTTACATAGTTCATATAGTTTAAGAAAAAAAATTTTGAAAGATAGATTTTAATAAGTAATGAGATTAATGATTTATAACTATAATTCTGGTCACTTTGATTATTTAATAGCCAAAAAACCTATTTTTATTTAACAGTACAAACATCATCTTGCATACAATACAATTTTTGAAAAACTATTGGTCTTTCACACCGCAATTTATAATGCTCAACAGAAAAAAAAAAAAAAATAGCACATTTGAAACAGTCATAGATTTTAGAACAGATTAGATAACATATAATTAAAATGTGTGCTCTAGTCATCCATTTAGAAAAATCGTACTAAGCCTCAATGCGCCTTGTAGTTTAATATTTAGGTACATTTATGCAAACGCCTTTCTACAAAACTTTGTTTATTTATAAAAGATAACTTATATAAATATGATTAATTATCAATAGTAAATTTACTTTCCATCAATATATTTTTTAAAAGTACAAGTGATATTAAAAATTTTTAAATAGGTTTTAGAAAGTATAACATGTCCCTAATATTATCAATTCTTTTTATTTGATAAAGATCTTTTCTGGTTTCATTTTTAATCAGAAAAGATTAAAAATTTTTAATTTTTTTTATTTCATAATATTCATAAATATTTTTAATAATTTCATTTTAATTAAATTAATTGGAAAATTAAATCAAATTATTTTTTATCAAAATATATTTATATAAAAACGAAGAAATTTCGTTGTAAATTATAAAGTATTAATAGTTAATATTTTGCGAATCAAACATATTAATGCTATAATAAAAAATATAATGTGATGATTAAAATATTATGCACAATTTTTTGATCTTGGCATATTATTACAATACTGTCATATGTATAATAATATCATAATCATCACATTACTAATTTCCAATTTTTAATCTGCTTCCTTTAATTTTTATATTTACTTTATAAAGTTTCCATTATAAAATTCTATTAAAACATATTCCTAAGTTTTATATATGATGCATTTAAAAAATATTCCAATTACAATTATTTTACTTTTTAAATTATTCTATCAAATTAAAATATCGTTTCAATAAATTAAAGTTATTAACTTTATTAAATATATAATGCTTATATGAAATTTTCTAAATTTTTATTTTATTTAATTAATAAGTAAAAAGAATAATCATAATTATATACTATACTTAGATTTAATATTGCACTAAACAATAAATGTCTTATTAAAATATGTATTTATAATATTATGTTCTGAATACTATATAAACATTTATTTATTTTGTGAAAGTATATGTTTAAAAAAAAAAGATACATGTTCTTGTTTGAAATTATCAATATTTTTATTTCTATATTAATTTTGTTTTCTTTCTTTTTTTCTAATTAAAATAAGAGAACGGCAATAAAATTGTACGATCAAAAAATTAGAATATGTTTGTTGTTATAAAAAAAGATCTATATAACTATATGTGTTTTGCTATAATATTGACTGAAAAATGTTTTTCTAATTATATCTATTAACAAATCTAAAATCAATTATTTTAATATTATGTTAAAGGCTTAAAAATATTTGATGAAAGTTTTTCTGCAATATATTGAGAAATAGAATTGGTTTGAAGATATAATATTAGAGCATATAATATAACATTATTATCAATAAAATGTATAACATTATATTATTTTTACAACTATAATTGTTAAAATAAATCTTTATATTATTTATTAATATAATTGATTTCAGAATCTATATTTGATTAGATTTTTTTTGTTCTTTTCAGAAAATACTGTAAGCTCATAAAATTTTAGTTTCTTTATAACACTTTATATATGATGATTAATAACGATTATTTGTTACATTAATTTTTTATTCTATATATATATCTAGGATATTTTTAAAAATAATATATATTAACTCTTTCAATGCATGTAATTTTTTAAATTGTAAAGGGAATTATTTTGAAAAATATAATGTACTATATATATTTAATATATATAGGATATTAATATTATGTTTATATATCTTATATTATATAATTATAAATAAATAAAATAATTTATTAATAAATTAAAAATATATGTATACAAAATAAGATAGAATTATTTTCATTATTATAAAATTAAAAAAATTTTTGTGTCTAATATATATTAATTAAAATAACATAATATGAAGTATGAAGATCTATGTATATTTAAATTTAAATTCATAAAAAATAATAAAACATGCAGCAAAGGGTTAATAGAAATGTATTATTCTAATATTCCAATTATCCTTTTATTTTTATCAAAAATATGAAATAATAATAATATTCTAATAATATGAAATAATAATAATATTCTAATAATAAAATATCCTTAAAAATTATATTATAATTTTTCTGTATGTGAAATATTATATTATAGAGCAAAATTAAATATATACATATAAATATATATAGAGTAAAACAAAAATCGTAACATAATTGATTATATAATGTTTTTACGTAAAAAAATTTAGTTGTGGTTGATTTTTTGTCCTTTCAGAATTTTCAAGAGATTTTAAAAATTATGCACATATAATTTTGATTGCCATATTATTTTTTACATTAAGTTCGAATTAATATTTATAATATTAATAATTGAAATCATATAATAAATAGATTTCAATAGAATTTTTCATTATTCCATTATAAATATGATTTTATTATTCTATTATTGAAAATATGATTTATTTCTATTATTGAAAATATAACTTCTGTTGTATTTTTTATAACATAATAAATGGCTTATAAATAATAATTCGAACATATAATAATAAAATAGCATAATAGCATATTACGATAATAAATTAATTTTTTAGCTTTCGATCATTTATTTTTTTTGAAATTAAAATTGATTTTATAAAAAATAAGAAAATTTTCGCACTACTAAATTTTTTTATATTTTTTCACGCAGATATTAAATGTTTAAAATCATGTTTTTAATAATTATATTATAATTTTTGATTTATCTGTATTAAATGTCTATTATTATATAATTTATCTGTATTAAATAAATAAAATATACGGTAAATATATATTGATATAATTTTGAACCAATGATTATTTTGAAAATTGAAAAAATATTTATATAGCATAATATAAGTTTAATAAATAATTTTAAGATAATTTGCAATGACATAAATAATAATAATATAAAAATAAAACATAGTAAGAAAATGGAATTTGGTAAGAAAATGTTGGTAAGAATAAAATATATAATAAACTTATATATCAGTATTTTATTCATATGTTGCAATTAATATATTGTAAATACAATTTATGTTTTAAAATATTGTTCTATATACATATATATACATATATTTACCGATAAATTAATTATACATATATATGATAAATTAATTATACATTATTAATTATATTTAAAAATATTAATGGATATTTAAATATATTAGTGGAATGTATTTTTATCGAAATAGGTTATATTTACATCAATTTAATACAACATAAAATATAAAAAAAATAATTAAAAATATAATAATAATATAATTTTAATATAATAATCTATGTTTTATATAATATAATATATTTTTTGTGAACAAAATTTAATTCAATTTTAATTATTTTGTTAAATGTAATTTTTATTCTATATAATACATAATTTTGTAACAAAAATAATTACAAAATCGAACAAATTTTTTTTGAATAATTATAAATTTTGTTATAAATTTTAATGATTTTTACATTTTTACATATATATAAATATATATATTGTTATTCTATTTTATAGAATTTTTTTTGAAGTAAATATATTTAAA